GAAAATAATGTTCTTCTTCTGATCGTTTTATTCTAAGTTTATAAATAAAACTATTAGGTTTCGTGGTCCGATTGACCAAATAAATTCTTTTCAATTAATTAATCTTTAATTAAGGTTTTGGTTGAGGTAAAAAAGTCAGTGTCACGAGCGGGATTCGAACCCACGACCTTCGGCTAAATACGCCGCTGCTCTACCACTTGAGCTAGAAAAATGGCAAAAAGGAGGGAAAATTAAAAAAAGTGGGGTTGAGATGGGAAGTTCGAAGTGGATCGAAGTCACGATAGCTCAAATGGTAGAGCAGCGGCGTATTTAGCCGAAGGTCGTGGGTTCGAATCCCGCTCATGACACTGACTTTTTTATCTTAACCAAAACCTTAATTAAATATTAATTAATTGAAATGTATAAACAAACAAAAACAATATTTTTTTATTGTTCCGTCACATAGTTAGTTTTGTTGGGATTAACAGTATCCCAAGAGAATAAAGGGTATAAAAGCCAATATTACCGAAGATATCCTCGTAATCGGCATGTTTTCCCTTCGTCTCGTAACGTTTGGACCGAATCCTGGGGCCGTGGACGTGTTTGTAAACGAACCTTGATTGAAAATGACATCTGTTTATCCAGAGGGCTCTGGATCCTTTACAGGACGTCGCCAGGACACCGGCACCCGCCCCGGTGTTTTGACCTGCTTCGCAAATTTGTTTACACGAACTGTGACAGAGGACAGAAACGACGAGCGACCTTTTTTTTCCGATTTTAAATAAATTATAGTCGGACCCTCTTTTAATAGTGTGCGCCGTTTACATCTTCATACAGAAAATGATCTCTTTCAAAGTTCAACAATTTAAAGTTGAAATACCCGATATATTGATTTATACAAGATGAAATTTAGGTCACGGTTTTAGTTCCCCTGTTTTTTCTTTTATATACATATTAATGATCTTTTAAAATTGAAAATATCTGGTAAGGTTTTTAGTTATGCTCATGATACGTGCTTGATTTTTTCTGGAAGGATAATTAATAATTTGATTATATCTATTAACAATGATCTTAGACTTGTTAAAACATGTTTATCTTCTAACTGTTTACTTTTAAATAATGATAAATCCAATGTTTTACATTTTGCATTAAAGTTAGTTATTATTAGTTTTAAATAGCTTTAAATTTTGTTAAATTATGTTTGTTAGCTTTAAATTTCAGACTACATTTAACTGTAACTGTTCCCCCATACCAATTACAAATAATACTAAATATTTAGGAGTTATATTAGACTCTAGGTTAAATTTTAAATTACACATTGATTCTTTGGTTATGCGACTGAGAAAACTCCTTTATAAATTCAGTGTATTAAGAAAGATCCTAAATTTAAAAATGTTCAAATCAGTTTATTATGCCTTAGATCAGTCTATAATTTGCAATGTTTCATGGGGTGGAACCAATAATTATTTAAATCCATTAATTATAACTCAAATTCGCTTTTGAGAATTATCCTTTCTTAACCTTTCAGATTCAACACCAATAAAACTACATGATATTTTTCAGTTTCTAAAATTTAAACAATTGTTTTTAAAATGTTCTTATGTATGTCTTTAAAAATAGCCTTTTTGCTGAATCAAACAATGAGTATCAAACTAGACAAAAAGTAGTGACTAATATTTTTATATCCAAAGTAAACACTAATTTTTACTTTAATTTTTCATTAAATGTTGTTTTTAGGTTTCTTTACATTCTTAAAGTTAATTTAAAAAAAATTTAATTCTTATTATTTCCAAAAATTTATTATTGTAAAAATTTAAAGTTTATAATTTGAACTTTCTTTGTGGTATATTTGGCATCCTATGGCAATTATTGTATTTTTTAATTTCTATTTTATGTTTATTTGAAGTTATTGCATTTTATTTTATTTTTGTTTTCTTTCTTCATTATTTTTCTTTTTTCTTTCATTTATTTGGTATTATACACTTTTTAAGTTCTTTTGATTTAATTTTTAGAAATTTTATTCACTGACATAACTCCTGCCACCTGTTACAAGAATTGCTTTTAGGTGACAAGCGAAAATGTGCAGATTGGTTAAATATCTTACTTTTGTTTATGGTTTTATTATTTTATCCTTCAATTTTTACGTCTTTTTTACTATATTACTTAATTTTCGTAAATGAAATTATTACTATTATTATTAAAATAATTATTACTTGAAATAATTTCCAAGTGAACAATGAAATTGTCGACCGGGTAGCAAAAGAAGCAACCAAGATCGAAGAGTTCCACAACATAAAATTACCAAAAATCGACGCAAAACGCACAATAAACAAACAGAGGTTAATAGAATGGCGTAACTGGTATTACAGAGGAACTGCGGGAAGAGGCTACAAATCCCTTTTCCCAGACAAACTTGGCAAAAACGACCTACAAAAGATTCTATGCGTCAATGACTCGGATTCGTACGAACCACTGCATCTGCGGAGAGTACCTATACAAAATAAACAAGTAGGGCATCTGCAAACTGTGAGACCTGCGATGAACCCGAAAGCATAAAACATTTAATCCTCGATTGTCCGGAAAACGAGGAAAATAGAAAAATCTTTCTTGACAGGGTCTACATGCTGAAAGAAGTCAGCAATGTTTTCAGTTGGGAGAGCTTGCTGGAATCTAGCAGGGAGGATGTATATTGTTCGATATATTCCTTTGTGCAGAACAGTGGTATTAGTGTCTGAAGGTCGAGCCGCCTTAAGCCAGAAACACACTTACCCGATGCTACGCCATGCGACGCTACCCGATGCTACCCGACGCAAATCCAAATTCCGATTTTCCAAAAGGTTGCATTATCCCCGTGCACATCTACCCGATGCTAATTTTGTGCTCATAAAATTTAACTAACAATTTATTACATGGCTGTACAAAGTTTTGCTCAAAATAGTGCATTAAGAACAAAAGATGCGTTGCGATTGTGAAAGTGATTATTGTGATAAACGCTGTGGACTGTACGCGACGTGTGCTTGCGTCGGATAGATGTGCACACCCTACCAAAACGTGGCAAGGCGTCGGGTAGCATCGGGTAACGTCGCATGGCGTAGCATAGGGTAAGTGTGTTCCTGGCTTTACTATCTGATCTCTGGGGTTCCGCATCCGGGGTTGGCTCTCCAATGAATCGGGAAATTTTGTCCCCAAGCTGTGGACCTTTCCGTAAGTAAGTGTGCTAAATGGAGTGCCGCAGGGTTCGCAAATTGGACCACTTCTGTTTATTGTGTATGTAAATGATCTGAAGACGTGAATCCCTCCAGAACATGAAAATAAAGTTGCCTTGTTCCATGAAAATAAAGTTTGCAGATGACTCGCCGTTTGTGGTCTCTGCAAGCAGTATGAATGTATGGTCTCTGTTACAAATTCCACACTGTGCAACATGACTAAATGGTTTACAAGTTGATATGACAATGAATGCTCAAAAATCGAATGCCATGATAGTATCTCTAAATAGTAAAAAATATCCAAACACTGAAAAATGTAAAGTTTTAGGTGTGTGGATTGATAACCATCTCACATGGTATTTACATGCAAACGAAACAATCAAAAAGTTGTCTTCAGTTTGTTTTCTAATGTTAAAGATCAGGAATTCAGCCTCGTTTGAAGTTAGGCGAGTAATATACTACTCACTATTTCAAGATATCATGTGCTTATGGCTTACTAATTTAGGGAAACAGCTGTCTTATGAAAGATGTACTTTTAGTCCAAAAACGTATTCTAAGAATAATGTAGTACATGGGAAAATGTGAATCTTGTAGAATATCATTTAGTGTAAACAACATATTAACTGTGATAAACATGTATATATACTAAATTTAGAATCGTACACAGTCCCGCTAATGTGCCATCGTACCATCGTTAATAAAAAATGTTTCGATATGAAGACGCGATTTTCATACAGTTGGAATAAAATCGGGGAGTCGAAATAAGAAGTTTGTGCCATGGGCGATCGAAGTCATGGTAGCTCAAGTGGTAGAGCAGAGGCGTATTGAGCCGAAAGTCGTAGGTTCGAATCCCGCCTGTGAAACAAATTTTTCATTTCGAAAAAATTGTGTATAATGTATAATTAATTGAGTATTTGTATATATACTTAAATCTTATGTACATAAAGAAAAATATATGAAATTATGAACCTGGAAATAATGTACATAACTATAATACCAGAAAAAAAAATTAGCACTGCCGAGATCTGTACAAAGACAACACTCAGTAGAAGTTATGAAAACATGGCAGCACATTAAGTTGTATAACTGATAATGTAACATAACTACCTCTAAAAGACTTTAAAAAAATTGTTTGTAAATTGGCTACTAAAAAATTCTCTCTGTAGTCTTCAAGAATTTTTTGAAATCGATGAGATCTGTTTGCACTCTGACGTATTCTACAGCCTGTATAATATTAAAATGTATAAACTGTTCTCGAATATAAATATGCTATACTACTGCACTATATATATTATGATTATTCGTAAATGCATGACAACATGACTGTTCATTGGTTATAATTTGTTATTTGTTATCGTTGTCAATTGTTGTTTGTTGGATTGTGCTATGTTTAAATTTTGTTGTTGTTTAAATTGTTATCATTGCAATGTAGAGGTTTTTAGGCTTTACATTTATTTATAATATGTATAATTTTTTAGAACAATTTCTTAACGCTAGCTTTTTATAGCTTTGTATGTATTTATTTGCCCTTCACTCGGACAATTGCTAAATGCAAGAGTATCATTAAACATCATCATCATCAAGGTTAAGTATTTCCCCACGGAGACGGCGCTTTTGAGTTTTAAAAGATCATATTCGTTCCAGGTATTCTCGGTGCATCGCAAGGATCTATCTTAGCCCCTTTAATTTAATTCATTTCCTCAAAAAAGTATGCTTTTGTTTAAAATGCAGCTTAAGAATACAAACTAAAATATTTTTTTTTCCTTTTTTTGTTGGACTTCCTCCAGTTTTTATTGATTATTTTTTGTGTTTCAGAATCGCACGCGGGACATTCACTACGAAGTGGGATGTAGCCCAGATTGTAAAATTGCTCAGGTAAGCGTTCAAATGTCAAATTTAAGAATCTCTTAAATTCAGGAAAGAAAATATAACATGTTAAACAAAAAAATAGCAATATCACCGGCGATAGCTTAAAATTACCAAATCTTTTTGCGTTTGTATAACATATTATGTAATTAATTCATTAATTTCGTGATCCGCTTGACCAATTAATACATGACAATTAATTAAGGTTTTTTTAGTTGAGATGAAAGAAAGTTAATGGCACGATAGGGATTCGAACCCACGACCGTATCTAGCCGAAGGTCGTGGGTTCGAATCCCTCTCGTGCCATTAACTTTTTTTCATCTCAACTAAAAAAAACCTAAATTAATATTATGTAATGCAATGTTGTAGTCAACATTATTTAGAATCCATTATATTTCGTAGCCCGATTGACCAAATAACTTCTTTCAATTAATTAATTATTTTATGTAAGTTATTGGTTGAAATGAAAAAGTCAGTGTCACAGCGGGATTCGAACCCACGACCTTCGGCTCAATACGCCTTTGCTCTAACCATTTGAGGTATCGTGGCTTTGATGCTCTCGGACACCAACTCCCCATCTCAACCTACCTTTCGAATTTTCCCTCCTTTTTGCCATTTTTCATTTTTCATGTGTCCGTCGTGTCATTTTTGATGTCCGAGTGGACTTTCTCTTTTTCTCTCTTTTATCTTTATGCAGCAGGTCCTTTTGCATCTGCAAATATTTGTTGATAACGGGTCTTGAACAGTTAAAGAAAGTTGGTATAGGGTTTTAAATCTAAAAGTAAGTACCTAGACCTTCTCACGACGCATAAATGCATCATTTAATCAATTGTTCGTTCATTCGATCAACAATATATTTAACTGTTAAAGATAGATTAACTGATTTATTTATCCGATCTTAAGATCTCATCATTTCAATCTCTCTCTCTTTCTCATTTTTCGATTTCATCCATTCTGTCAACATCTCTCGTGTTTTATGTTACTCTCTCAATCACTTTTATCTCTTTCTTTTTTCAATTGACGTCTAGCCTTCTAGATCTTCTCTTAATTCATTTAACAATTTTTACACTTTCACGAGTTTATATATATCTGTCTATGTATTAACTTATTTATCGATATATCGTTAATCTTACATTTATTGTTTTAATTTTATTTCTACGCTGTATCGCTAGTTCTCTCTCTCTCTCTCACTCTCTCTCTCTCTCCCCTCTCCCTCCTTTTCCTCCTTTCTCTCTCTCTCTCTCTCCCTCACTCTGCTTTCCATATTTCTTTCTATCTCTCTCTCGCTCAATGTATATCATATTGTTCATTCTACATCACTATCTATCTACTGTATCAACATATTTAACCGTTTATCTAGTTAACTTCTTTCTTATTTTCTGTCACACTTCTCTATCTCTCTCTTTCTTTCTTCCTCTTTCTCCTTTAAGTTAGACGTCTTTCGTCTAGCCTATTTACCATATTACCTTATTATTTTCTATTTACCATCTTTCTCAATTTGTACTTTGCTTTCTCCCACCCACTCTCTCAGAATTGATGTTATTGTTTCTTAATTATACATATTTACAATTTATATTATGATATATCTCTCATTTTACGTAGTTGTATGTTGACGTCTGTTTTATTCTCCGTGATGCTCTCTCTCTCTCTCTCTCTCTCTCTCTCTCTCTCTCACTCTCTCTCTCTCTCTCTCTCTCTCTTTCTTTCTATTTCTCCTTTTAGTTGAATATATATTCCCCTGTCTGAAATCTATTTATTTGTCAATATATCTCTATTTTCTATGTTGTATAGTTGTTCTCCGTCCTTTACTCTTTATCACTCTGAAATAAAAGTTCTTCAATGATTTGTAAAAACTTATTTTTTCTTATTTCTCTCTCCCTCTTCTTTTCTCTTTTCTGTTCCTTTCTTACCCTACATCTATCTACAGTTTTTATGCCTATTTACCTTTCTGTTTTTTTGTATTATTGTCCCTCGTTTTTACTTGTCTCTCACTCTCTCTCTCTCTCTCTCTCTCTCTCTCTCTCTCTCTCTCTCTCTCTATCGACCCATTTTAACTGAATATGCGAGATTTTTTTAAATAAAACGATATTTATTCATACTCTACCTCTCTACAAAGTCTCAATTGATATCATAGTTTTGATCTTGTACATATCTTATATCTACGTATTATGTATATATCGTAGTATGTATAAAAAATCTCTAAAATAAAAGTAAAATCTGTCTTATTTTCTGTTACACCCACAAACCCATACCCACACATTCTCTCTCTCTCTCTCTCTCTCTCTCTCTCTCTCTCTTTCTCTCTCTCTCTCTCCCCCCTCTCTCTCTCTCTCTCTCTCTATCTATCTCTCTCATCTCTCTCTCTCTCTCCCTTTCAAATGATATATTTTTCATCAGTATACGTAATATATATTTATATATCATTTTATCTATCTGTAAATTTCTCTCATTGTCTGTGATGTACCTCTCTCTTTCTTTTTCATTCTTTCTCCTCCGATTTAATAAAAATCTGACAACCTTCTACTTATCCAACTATCTTTCCATTTATTTCCAATAAATTTTAACTATTTGTTTGCATGTACGTTAACGTTTTTCTTGTTCTCTCTTCCGATTTATATCGTATATTTCAACCTTCATCGTATCATCTATCTACTTATCTTTTTTCAATGTGTACTTTTCTTTCTTCCAATTTATATAATATATTTTATCTTTTGATGTACCTTTATATCTTTAAACCTACCTAGTTTTCAATCAATCTGTAATTGTTCTCTAATACGTCTCACCTACCCCTACATTTCTAGCTATTTATTTTCCTTTCTTACTCGTTCTCCTTTCACACCTTTTGTCTTTCTTTTCCCCATTTCATCTTAAACGCTAATTTTCGGTGTTTACAAATGGTTTATATTTGTAAACAACTTTCAAAAGGTGTAGACCCGCATCGTGAGGATCGTGAGCACCGTCGAAGTTAGTGGGAGGTCCCAGGGCCGCGGAAGAAGGAGGAAGATGTGTTAGCCGACGTTAAATAAGGCATTAATCCAAATGTAGTAGCCCATTGAGATTTATTATGAACACGAGGCGACTCGACTGTTCGAAAAACGTCCGCCCCCGAGGAGGCCGATGTCCAGCATCCATCGCACCTGTGAACTGATTGGACCGAACAAGTACCGAGTGCCATCGGCATCCTGGCTCCCACACCAATCTCCCAACCGTCCCCAATTATATCTGAAGCCCAAGTGGCCCCCAGTTAACGACCGTTATTAGCCGACACCACCTTCATCACCTCTCCCCCGCTCACGAACACCGTAAACAAATATATGTTTAAGTTTCGGTTTAAGATAAAAGCTAAGCACTGGTTCTGTTAAACACGTACGCGAAAAGTTTTCCCCTTGCAACATGTTTCGATTATGTCTATAATTTACACCCTTGGAATTAAACGTATGAGCTCAACACCTACAAATCTTGTGAATCATGTCCAATTTTTTGTATCGAAAATCCTTCAGTAATCTTTTGGTTAACAATGCTTTAACAGAGAACTAGAAGAAATAAAGCTTTTTGGACAGTATACAGGGATTTTACTAAATTGTTTTTGTCTCTAGAATTTTTTGGATTTATTTTTTGCTTTTTTTCAGTAGATTTTCTCTTTGTGTTACATTCCGTAGTTGGATCCGTTTTGAAAAAAGAAAATTGCCCGCAGTTCACGATCCCCGGCCGATTTAGCGATTCGCCGGCTGTCCAATTGTCCTTGAATTAAATTTCATTCACTCGCCACTTGCATTCATAGTACAAACAAAAACGTCCATGAATGGGCATTTCCTATGGTACGTCGGTTTGGCGTTTTTAACACAGGAATCGAACCTGGAAACGACATTTGAAAGGATTTCGGTGAACAATTACTCGTGAGATCGAAGACGATTATCTCAACATTCAATCCATACAAATTTGTGTTGCTCCGAAATGCCTGTCACTATTTATGCCGCATCACGATCGACCTATAAAAACCTTGTGTTTTTTTAAAGATTTCATTTAATTGATCGGGTTTGGGAAATAATTAGAAAGCAGTAGCAGTTCTATTATCTCAGGACGTTACATAATAAAGGATTAAACTGATGACCGGGTAATCTCTTCTTACCTTGGAACTCTAGCATCGTTAATCATGGGTGAACACAAAATTAATATGCACTGAGAAGCAAAAAAAAAAAAAAAAGAAAAAAGTGACCACTCGTATTTTAGTAAATACTTGCAATTGTTATAATTGTGATTTTTTATTTGTTTACTGGTATGTTTAAAGAAAAATATAAGATGTAGCTAAATATAAAACAATTAACCACAAACATTAAACTGAGTAAAACAATTTTACCAAAAATTAATTAAGGTTTTCAGTTGAGATAAAAAAGTCAATGCCATGAAGTTAGTGTCCGAGCGGATCGAAGGTCACGATAGCTCAGGTGGTAGAGCAGCGGCGTATTTAGCCGAAGATCGTGGGTTCGAATCCCGCTCGTGCCATTGACTTTTTTATCTCAACTGAAAACCTTAATTAATTGTAAGATATTAATTGGTCAAGCGGACCACGAAACTAGTGAATTTACCAAAAATGTTTCTATGGAATCAATGAAGAAAGTGGCAAAAAGTAGGGAAAATTCGAAAGGTAGGTTGAGGTGAGGAGTTGGGGTCCGAGGGGATCGAAGTCACGATAGCTCAAGTGTTAAAGCAGCGGCGTATTGAGCCGAAGGTCGTGGGTTCGAATCCCGCTCGTGACACTAACTTTTTCATTTCAACCAATACCTTACATAAAGATTAATTAACTGAAGAAATTATTTGGTCAATCTCCTCTTGCGTTGATTACTTCTTGCATTGGACGTGGCATCGATTTTATGGTTTTTTTTAGTTTTTATGTAGTAATATGTGGAGATTAGTGACCATTAATCGATAGCTATTCAGATATCGTGAGATGCGGTCGGGTGTGATGTAGGTTTCAGAAAAACATTTTCTTTATCGTGCCAACGTTTCGA